GCCACCTTCCCCCTCCCGCTAGCTGCGATCTGGTCACGAGACCAGAATGTAGCTAGGGGAGGGGAGGAGAGGGGGAGAGACAAAGCTAAAAAAAAAAAAAAAAAAAATCCATGGCTGCAACAACTCTGGCGTCTTAGGGCGAGGGGGAGGGGAGAGGAGAGGGAGAGGGAGGGGAAGAGGGCAGAGGTGCCGGGGGAGGGGGAAGGGAGAAGAAGAAGAAGAAAGAAAAGAAAAGAAAAAAGAAAGAAAAAAGTTTTTCAACCTAAAAATTTTTCTTACAACTTCTACAGTAATTTACAGTAAAGTTTTAGACAAACACCCAAAAAACTCACCTTCTAAACGGGACCGATAATTCACTCTCTCTTCTCTTCAAACTCTCCCTTTTCAGATGACACGATTCTGGACACAAAAATCAGAGGGAAAACAATGGAAGAACGACACTTTCCGAACATGCATCATAAACTTACTTAGATTGCAACTCATGCTTCGGATCAAAGGGCTCAACAAAGATTCTCAACATGGTCACCTGTGCAAAATCCATCGGTTTTTGACGTGGTGACAACGCCCATTCTTATGCACAACTGGCTTGGTCTCTCACTGGAAAAGTGAGTTTTCAGCTCGAATTGCTGTCATCTCCTGTCTACATCTGACAAAAGTAAGTTTTAAGTTTTTAGATGAACACAGATCTAACACGAATTAAACTACATTCTTAATTTAGTCGCAGTCTTTGGTAGCCAAAGATATTGAAATGTCAACTCCTCAGCTTAACATTTGCCGAAGACATGAAATTTATATGACATAAATTGGCAGCATGGTCAGTTAGTTTCACTCGGGAAGAGCGAAGGGGCCGATAGTGGAATCACAACCTTCATCTAACATCCTGGGGACAAAGTTGTAAATTTCTAAGGTATCTGAAACCCTCACACTAGGTTCTACCCTTCAATTCATGAGGCTGAGTGTAAATCAAGCTAATTGCTCTCTTCTTATTAAGGACCATAACTGTGCTTCTCAAATAAATTGGTTAAAAAAACCAAACCATCGATATATTAGCATTTAAATTGCTATTGGTAAATAGAGTCAATCAATGCCTCTAACAGTAACTTATTCTCCTCTTGTCAGCAAGTGAAAGCACAACTTATTTTTCTCCTCTATGTATTGGTTCTGAAAAAGTAAATAGAACAAAATAGCTGACCTTTACATCACTTTACTGCACCATTTCCATTAAGCGATACTGGTACAGGTCTCCTTTCTTGACCCAAGGACAACATCTCCTGCATCCTTTCTGGCCAAACAGAGTTCAATCTCCGGGCAAAATCCTCAACCTCCCTGCAATTCAACAATAATGATTAAGAACCATCTTTTAAAATAAAACTTCATATCCAAGATGCTACGTATCAAGAAATTAAACGTAGCGCTTGCAGCAATACTAGCATGTTGCAATCACAGAATATGAAACTTACCACACCATTTAAATGAGTGCAAGACCAACATATCAATGCCCGAAATACACATCAAACTAAAACAGAAATATAGGTCAAGGTACAATTCTGCAACAACAAATCAATTCTAAATTGATTTGGCTTTTAATAAATATGATATGTATATACACACGCGTATCAGGTATAACATATAGATACAATAAAAAGCTATTTTACCTGTCCAGTTCTTCCTCCATTGCAGGATCCAACTCATTATCAAACTCAAGCTTTGGTGAAAATGTAACAGATGCAGAATCTTGAAATACTGCACTTTTACTTTGGGAGGTTGCATTGTCAATATCACCAATCAAGTAGCCAGAAGGCAGATGATTTGGCTCCTAAAATATCAACATATACCAGTGAAACCCAAAAGCAGTGCAACTTTTCTTCTCTCCCTAAAGAGAGAAGGACAAAATGCACAGTAAATATACAGTGCTCAGAGGCTGGGGGCAAGTAGCTGGGAAGAAACGTGTCATTACAACCTTAAACTGGTTACAATTTGAATCATTTGATGAGAAGTTTCCAGAAAGGTCTTTTCTCCTCCTGTTTTTCTTTTTGTTCTTAGCAGCTTTTACTCCTTTAGATTCTGCAAGAGAGGATATCCTGAGCTTCATCATGGAACAATAACTGTAGTGAAGAAGCAAATATACTCAAACATGGCCTAAAAAAAATTTACTCAAACATGACTCATGCAAAATTGTCAGATCAGATAGAACTTGAAGTTTTCAAATTCTAGGTCAGGGTTATTCATGAAAGGTAGTGAACTTTTAGTAGATTTTTAACTTGCAAAGAGGAAATATCATGTACATATCTTCTATTGCACAAGACAAAACAAACTTTAAACATAATATGGCAGCAAAGACTGCATCAGCTATCCATAAATCACAGATAAAGATACTAAAGCTGACTAAATGCAGTTACATAAGCTCGCCAGGGGCCTGGGGAATCAAGCTACTACAAAGTACATTTCTTGATTTTCAACAAGATAAAGCAGGTTTTCACCAAAAATAAGATGTAGAACTTTTCAAGCAGACCTCCGTCTCCATTTATGAATGACAAAAGTTCATCAACTGGGCGTTCATCCACAAGCTGCTCTTCTTCAACCTCAACATTCTGAAACATTAGTGCAATTCTTAGTGCAAAACTAAGGATTCAGAAACGAGGAGTTGATTACCAACACATATCCTGCACTTGCATTTTACAGTGTAAGTTGATTAATTATTTTAACCTACAGGTACTTCAAAAGCAAGTTAACTGAAGTACCCAGGCCTTTTTTTTTTTTGGAGGAGGGAGGGAGGGGGGAGGGAGAACATCAAAGTACCTTTACTTTTGCTCTCTCCTTTAATTCTTTCCTCTTTCTTGCATATAACCGATTCAGAAGCCTAATGCGTGGATCATCCGTCAAATTTCTTAAAGGCTCCAACTTCTCCTCCTGCAACAGAAAGTACCTAAATATGAGTAAAACACATTGGGCTATACCTATTTATCCCAGCAGCAGATACCTCTGTAAGATCATCAGGTAAATTGAAAGTTTCACGTATCTCTTCCGGAGTTTTTCCTTCAATCATCCGAGCAAGCGCACGGCTTGTAAGGTCTACCAGAGGCCTCAGTTGGAGACTATCAGCAGCAGATGTCAACTCGCACAATTTTTTTGCATCTAACTTGATAAACTTTTCATCAAAAGTTTTCCTTTCCTGCATAGAATCAATAGACAAAGGTTCCGTTTGATAAAACTGAATCTGAATTCTGAAGTCTGAATTCTGAAATCTGAATACTGAAACAATTAATTTGCTGAATTTTAAGCACTGAAAAGAAATATATGAATGTCTGAATTTTAATGTTAAACCTATTTATAGTCTTTGATAAAACATTTATAACTGAATGCTGAATAAGTTAAATTTGACAAATTTGCCCTTATATCTTTTCACCCAAAAAAGAAATAGAACCTATGATTTAATTAGCTAAAAATGTTAGGTATGAAAATGACAATATTTATTTTTAAATCAAATTAATATAAAAGATGAAATATATTATATGAGGAGTATGGAGAAGATGCGAAAATCATTCAAAAGGGTGAAAAAAGAAATAAAAATTCATTAGATAGAGAATATTAGATTGTTTAATTAGATAAGAATTTTTAACATAATTAACAAACAAGGGTAGATTTGATAGATAAGATAAGGTAATTGAAGTAATTCTATTGATTCTTATCAGAATTAAGCATTCATTTAGGATTCTTGTGCTAAAAAAAATACACACAAGTTCAGCACTACTTAACAAGTTCAGCAAATGGATTTTCATTTATCAAGCACTCAAAACATCTGAATGTCTGAAAAAATTCAGATTCAGCACTTTTTTTTGTTATCAAACAGACCCAAAGTCAAATGCCATCAGAACATCAAAATAGAAACAGTAAAACACCGCAAAACAAGCGCGCAATACATGAGTTAAGATATATAAGAATGAAACTAAGAGAAAGATATTTGTACAACCACAATTCTTGAAGGAGGGCAAGCAGCATAAAACAGGGTAAACCTTATTAGAACGGCCTGGTACTTGATGAAACCGACAGTAGTCAAGTATTAATCCCAATATAGCAGGATTTACACGTTGAGGAAGCGAGATAGCATAATTTTTAGATGATCCCATGCCTGTTTGAAGAACTTCTCGGCATATCATAGGACAAAACATAGCAACCTCTTCTTCCACTTGTTGAATTGAACCATCAGTAGTTTGGAGCCAGATGTATGGCTTCATCTTGATTATGGAAAGATTAGCAACATGAGTAAGGCCAATGGTACATGCTCAATATATCCAAAGAGAACCAACAACAGTATGAGAAAATGAAGCCAACAAATAAAATCAAAAACAAGAAAATGCTCATAGAAACAACCTATGTAACCAACAGCAAGAAATTTCTCATCTTAAAAATGCCATACCAAATTATAGGATAGGAGCATAAACCATCAACTTGGGCAAACAGGATTCAAAAACAATCAATACAGGATTCTCAGTTCCAAGCAACAACTAAATAAACTTACCATTAATTTTTTTTGGGAAAAAAGTCAAGGAATACGTTCAACTATTCATGTGGGAAAATAAGCAGCAGCTAGCAAATGAATTCTAGGGCGAACATGGAGTAGACAAAGGTATAGAACATATTAGAAACATTTACATCAGCATCAATTCATTCCACCAACAAAATCCAGAAACATGTGAGTGACATCCATACTACTCTAGAAAAAAAAAGGTAAAGGGGGTCCAATTTCTAAGAAGAAAAGTAAATTCAGACCTAAAACAGTGTCATCTACATCTGCTTGATCTTATTCCAATTTCTTTTAGTAGATAGGAAAAATCACAAACAATCCATTTAACCCACCTCTGGTTTGACAACTGCCATTGGACCTTCTGGCATAAGGTGGTCCAATAAGCACAAATTTATTGTGGACTCCAAAACAAAATTTATGTACTCGTACAATGAAAGTCTAGCAAGCAAAGAAGATATTCGCAGTCTCGCTTGCTTCAACACATAAATGTTGCAAAGGCAGTGAATACTAAATCAGCAATGGCAGATCTCAAAAAACCCCAAGGTGTGCAATTTTTCAAGAAGAAATATCCATCAGATCCAGAAACCTGTTCAGGAGTAAAGAGATTAAGGATCAACAACAGTTGATTATATGGTAAAGACAAGCACACCCCTTGTAGTAGAAACGAAACTAAGAAAGTCAAAGGCAAACATATAATTATGCATGAGAAAAGAAACACATAGGTTTGGAGAGGCGAGAGGATTTTGGAAGGAAAAATAGAAAAGAACAAAGAAACTAGCAGAGCATTTAGAAAGGTTTTTCACTTTTGGTTGGACATAGAAATAAAATTTTTGTTTCTTACTTTCTCCATCTTGTTTCATCTTTCATCCACTTGGAAAACATTAAAACAGCAGATGAATTCTAGCTGCAGAGGCAAGCGATGGAAGAAGTAGATACATCCAGAATTCGACTATAACCGACTCTGGGTATACAAACTGTACTCTCGAGATAGGGTAAAATAAACTGTCTTTAAATTTACTAGTGTGTATCACAACAAAGTAACAGAATGAATCCTTGACTAGACATGATTTCATTAAGAGTAACTAAATCATATGCTAAAAGCTCTTCCCTTATCATTTCTCAAGTTGTCCATCTTAAGTGCCCAACTGGACAGGTACCGACTAGTATTGATTCTTACTTCTTAAAGTACCCATCCAACTTTTCCCAAGTGCTGCCATAGTTGCAAGAATGGTACTACTCAGGACATGCAGATTTAGCATTTAAGAATTTCCTTAAATTCTGTATGAATCATCGATTGAAAAATGTTTATTAAAGCAACAGTACAATAGATCTGCAGCTGTTTGATGTTTCAAATAAAATTGACAAGCCAAATTGAAGATGCCACCTTTACCCGGTTATTACACTTCAACTTATCCATAGAGGATGGTGTTGTGTATTGATAAAATGATCTCATAGCTCTCTTCCCCAGTCGAACTAGTTTCTTTTCCAGCAATTATCAGAAATAGCATGCCAATACTCGTGTTCTGCAGAGGCAGGCTATTACACGCTTTACAACCAAAATCTATCATTCTTCCTGTTGTCAGTTTCAGTATTTTGTAGACTGAATTTCAAGCATTTTATCCGCACACCTTGTCAAACATTGTAGATAATTGAACACATGAAGAAGTTAAGGATTAATAACCCGAAAAAGAAAAACACAAACAAAAATATAAACACTAAAAGGCACGTTATACAGCAACTCTGAAGTGCCATAGCAACCTAATTGACTTTCATTTTATAATTTTCAGGCGAAAGAGTGAGCCAAGCCCAGCCGCAACAACAGAAAAGACTCCAATTAGCACGCTAGATAAAACTCATAACAATTTTTACGGCGAATTCAGGTTCGAAGTCGATCAACAAACGGCATAATATCAAGATTTTCAGCTAAAACAAATATTGAAGCTTCAAGATTGAATGCGTGTTGTGGGGGAAATTATGTATAAATGTGGTACTAGTATCAATTCTCGCACATAGCAAACGAATTTTCAGAGAACAAATGCAATATTACGTTAGAATTCAAAGAAAATTTTACATGCCTGGGATGAAATTGAATCTCGGTAATCGGTCGATTAAAAGGAGATAAAACTTTTTGGTATGACTGGATAAGAAGAAGAAGCGTAGAAGCGGTAAGGGGTTTGATATGACTGGAAAACGGGTAAGCCCCAGTCCGTTCCCCCCAAGTCCACTGGTTTTGATTTTACAGTCTAAGCGTCGTGCTTGTGACGCGTGCAACCATGCCGGACTCGCACGTGAAGGCGGTTAAGGCCATTCTTCTTCTCCTTTTTTTTTTTTTTCCGTTTCTTTTACAAGGTCCTAATTCCAAATTTCCCACCACTGGCGGCCCTGTACCCAACGGTCATTAATTTGGGCTTGGCTAAGCCCCTGTTGGCCCATGTTATAACATAAGCCCCATAAATTGGTCTGAGATCGGCCCAGGCAGAATTCCAAGGACTCAAACTCGGTCGTTCCTCCTATGGAAGTCAAGTTGACCCGAATTAGCGTTCCACATCAGTGGTGGTATCTAACAAGTTCCAAGAAGAAAATAAGCGCGTGTTAACATTTTAATTAGTGCCCGTGCAACCAAAGTTAGAAACTCCATGCCATGGATTCCAGGCAGCAGTTGTACTTCACTCGACACGAGATTGAGGCTTTGTTTGGGTTGCATTTTTTTAAATTTTTTGTAGAAAAATTATTATAATAATTTAATATATGTAAGATAAAAAAAATTTTTAAAAAATATGTTTACAAAAAATTACACAATTCAAACAAACGGTAGAATTAAGGGCTCTTATAACAATAAAAGTCCTTGGCCGTACACCAAATTAACTTCTTTTTTTATATTGTGGGCTCTTATTTAGTGTACAGAGAGAGTGATCATAGTAAGCTAGAGAAATATTTCAAGTCTCTTGACCCAACAATCATTTTCGATGTATGTATTTATACGACACGGAACCAAAAACTAGGGCGAGATGATCTGGGGATGAAATTCGTCATTTTCCTTTATTAGTAATACGAGTTCAATTGGCTTTTACTCTGTGGACTTCAGCAGTTTGACGATTGACATCTACCATCGTGTCAGCGCCTCCGACATCCACATGTTCTAAAGCTTCGGTGAAGGGCCACCGCAGGCCACGTCGAGTGTTGGAAACACCGCCATTATATCTGCAAGCGTAAGCTGTATGCCCATCAAGATGGAATGGGCAGCCCCACACTCGATTTTTGTCCATCGTGAAATTAAATTAGGGTTAGAAAGAAGAGTTGGACTATGATATCAATTTCCAAATCCAAAATGATAAAGTATCCATTTTTATTAAAGAACTGACAATGCGACTAAAACAATTGCTAGTTCCGTCAAAGTTCACTGGAAAATTGGTACGTTAGTGGATTCGATTTTATCCAAATTCAATTCAAATATTTATATGTTTGAATGGGATTTGAATTTAATTTTTTAAATATAAATTCTTATCCAAATTCGGACGGTATTAGAGAATTCTCTCCTAAATTTCAAAAATTAACTTGCAAAAGGACAAAATTGAAAGAATATGTCACTCTTTCCTAAATATATTTTTTAATATTATCTTGGGATAATTGCAGAAACCTCCCCTGAGATTTCTGACATTTGCACTGACCTCCCCTCTAGGTTTAGAAATTGCATTCACCTCCCCTGAACAATAACAATTCGTTGCAGATACCTCCTTGACAGCTTTTGTAGAAGTGAGATAAGAATTTTCTTCCAATTTTGCCCTTACTTGCTTGACAATTATTATTTGTTTGACAATTGCTTAACTAATTATCTAATTAGTTAATAGTTAAACTAATTAACTATTAACTAATTATCTAATTAACTATTAACTAATTATCTAATTATCTAATTAACTAATTAACTAAAGTTGTTGTCTGTCCGAAATTAACAAACTATTTGCATGTTAAACTAATTAACTAATTAACTGCTTGACTAATTAACTAATTAACTAACTAACTAACTATTTGCATGTTAAACTATATGCAGTACGCATTACCTATTTAAAGTATCGGCTCTTTATAGGTATTTTACTTTCAAACATTTAATTTATGATAAAAACATCAATGTTTGTAAGTAAAATTCAAAAAGTATTACAGTAATATTTTTACAAAAAGGGAGGGGTATAGGGCCATAAATTAAATGTTTGAAAGTAAGAATATTGATATTACTGTAACACTTTTTGAATTTTACTTACAAACATTGATGTTTTTATCATAAATTAAATGTTTGAAAGTAAAATACCCATAAAGAGCCGATAGTTTAAATAGATAATGCGTACTGCATATAGTTTAACATGCAAATAGTTTGTTAATTGGTTAGTTTGTTAATTAGTTAATTAGTTTAACATGCAAATAGTTTGTTAGTTTCGGATAGATAACAGCTTTAGTTAATTAGTTAATTAGATAAACAGAAATTAGTTAATTATTAATTATTAATTAGATAATTAGTTAGTTAATTAGTTAAGCAATTAATTAGTTTAACATGCAAATAGTTTGTTAGTTTCGGATAGATAACAGCTTTAGTTAATTAGTTAATTAATTAATTAGATAATTAGGTAGTTAATTAGTTAAGCAGTTAATTAGTTTAACATGCAAGTAGTTTGTTAGTTTCAGACAGACAACAACTTTAGTTAATTAGTTAATTAGATAAATATTAAATAGTTAATTAGTTAATTAATTAATTAGATAATTAGTTAATAGTTAATTAGATAATTAGTTAATAGTTAATTAGTTTAACTATGCAGAAATAGTTTGATTAGTTAATAACTATTAACAATTAGATAATTAGTTAATTAGTTAATAGTTAATTAGATAATTAGTTATTAATTAATTAGATTATTAGTTATTTAGTTATTTAGTTAATTAGTTAAACTATGCAGAAATAGTTAATTTAGTGTAATTTTTATTAACAAATGTTTTGTTGGGTTTGATGAAAGTACTCATTACATTCATTTGGTAAAATTAAATCATGTCAGGGGTACTTTAGTAAATTGACCCACTTTTGCCTATTAAATTGCCTCCAACTTTTGATAGGAGAGGTCAGTGCTATTTCAAAATTGATAGGGGAGGTCAATGCTATTACTATAAAAGTCAAGGGAGGTTTCTGCAATTATCCCTATTATCTTTGCATAAAGGGACTATCATGTCACACAAAGGTTGTCATTCGAAGGACACTAAGGGTCCGTTTGATAAAACTGAATCTGAATTCTGAATACTGAAATAATTAATTTGCTGAATTCTAGGTACTAAAAAGAGATATATGAATGTCTGAATCTTAATGCTGAACCTATTTATACTGTTTGATTAATATTCATAACTTAATGCTTAATAAGCTAAATTGTACAATTTTGCCCTTCTATCTTTTAATCCAAAAAGAAAATAGAACCTATGATTTAATTAACTTAAAATTGTTAGGTATGAAAATGACAATATTTATTTTTAAATCAAATTAATATAAAAGAAGAAATATATTATGGAAAACATTAAAAGAAACATTACAATCCAATAATTCATATAACATATAAATTCGACCTAAAAAATTTAGAAATGATTGTTTGTAATTTCTTCACGTAGGTTATGCATGAATAATTGATCAGCTTGTATGGATCCTTCTCCTACTTCTTCGTTTGTCTCGTCATCTTCGACCTCTTCTCCATTTTGTATAATAGCATCATCATCATCATATTGTTGAAACCAATAATCATTTGCAGAAATTCTTCGCAAATAATTGTGAAGAGCAATGCATACAATGACAATGTTTCTTTGTGTGGGAAAAGGGTATGGTTTCATCGTTTTGAGAATAGGAAAACGAGCTTTTAATACTCCAAAAGCACGTTCAATTACATTTCTCAATCTTGCATGTGCTTGGTTAAAGCGTTATTCTTTTGATCTTGGACGAGAAGTATTTCGAAAATCAGATAACCAATATCTAATATTTCGATATGGTGCCATAAAGCCACGGGTGTGTGGATAAGCTGCATCACATAAATAATATTTATCTACACAAAAAAAAAATATCAAAATATAAATATTTGTGGATGAAAACTACCGCAAAAAAAAAAATACTATTGTTAAAAAAAATTTAACCTGCTGGAGGAATAGGAAAGTTGCACGTTGGGTCTGCTAAGGCTTCTGACAAAACTCTAGAGTCATGTGCTACACCTTCCCAACCAGCCAAAATGAATGTGAAAATCATATTGAAATCACAAATAGCTAGTACATTTTGCATGCACTTGCCTTTTCCTCTCCCTCGATACGGAATTTGTTCATCTACGGGTATAATTGCAGGTATAAGTGTTCCATCTAATGCACCTATAGCACCCTTTTGAATAGGACAAAAAAAATCAATAATTAGATACATATTTAGCTTGAAAAAATATCACTTACATTTGAAAATACCTGAAATATTTGGAGAAGTCGACGTTGCTGTTGACTTGCATGCTGGTTTCCATTAAAATTTGGGACAATCATCTCTTTCGAAAAATGTAGCATAGCTTGTAGCACTTCATAAAAATATGTATGAATGGTATGGGTCGAATGGCAATATCTCCTTTTAACCACGCGATTTGTATGATGATGACCCATAGTTATGAGAAACATTGCTACTTTTTCTTCAACTGAAATATAACGACTATTTTGTAGCCAACCTTTATTTCGCAAATGAGTGCACAAATTCATAAATACTTCTTTTCTCATTCGTAGTATTTCTATAGAGTGTGCAGGATTTCCATCAAGAATTTCATTTACGTATTCATATCCTCTCAACATAGAATTTGTATCAAGTCTTCTTCCAATACGCCTCAATTGTTTTCTTTTTAGGATTAGTAATATTAATACAACTTTTAAAAGTTGTATTTTCTCATCCGTCAACATCTGCAAATTTCAAATTGAGTATATCATTAAAAAAGAGTGCACAATACACTTCTTCCAATTATTATTTGACAAAACAAAAAAGAAAGTAAGAATAGTTAGCTAACATATATATTATAATGTAATCCATTTATAAGAAAAGTTAAATAAAAGTAATCACATAAAAGAAAATAATTTATTCATTATCTCAAGAAAAATAAAACTATTTGACAATGAAATAATTTATTCATCATCCCAAGAAAAATAAAACTGTTTGCCAATGAAGTTGTCTACAAATGAAATAAATTTAGAAGCCACAAGATTGCAAAAAAAATCAAAATAAACCTAGCTTTCTTGCATTCATTGCAATCCAATTCAATCTAAACTCTTCATGTTTTTCTGCTATCTGGATCCATTGCTCTCTGTAAGCTTTACTTTCACAAAAAATACTAGAAGCTGCAAGCTACAGTGGATCCATTTCTGTTAAACCCTGCATTTTGTCTAAAATCTCGTTACAATCTTTAATACTTGGTCCATCTGACTTTTCCAAGATCTCAATAACATTCATCAACTGACTATCAACATCATGTAGTTTTTCAACATTGGTTTTTTTTGGATGTTTGCCTTCACTCTTGATTTCCTGTTTTGATTTCTTAGTTGAAGAAGAGGCCATATCAATTTCTTCCGTTTCCAAATTGATACATGTCTGTGAACAAGATTCAAGACCATCCTGTGGTAATCCCTCTTTAGATGGACCCCACACATTTTTTCCGCTAGCCACAATACCATCAAATAATGCCCTCATTTCATTTGGATATTCCAGTGGATTAAAACGAAATTTGCTTGCTTTGGGATTATCCTGAAACAATATGTACAAAAAAAATTATTATGTACAAAAGAATTATTTTCAAAAGTATGCCGATTATTTAAATAATAAAATTGATATATAAACTTAGGTACCTTTAAGTACTCTTCCCATTGCTTTGAAGTCCAATTGATGGTATTGGTAACAGGGTCATAATGAGTATTCCCTGTGTTACCAATGAGTCTTGCCCAAATTATATATTTTTGTTTCAAATAATCCCATTCATTCTTCAATTGTCTTTGCGTAAAATCGCCCTTATTTTCAGCTTTCAAAGTTGATCTAATTCGTTCCCAACATTCTTTTTTTAAACTGTTTCCACTGTAATTATTAGGGCGTGCTTCAATCAAACATAATTCTATAAATCGCCGGAATACTTCCGGGTCTTTCCAATTAGCCCTGACAGAATTCTCTCGTTTCATACCTACATTGCACATAGGTAAACCTATATATCATAACATATATAAAAGTAAAAAATAAAAATAAATGGAACTGAAAAAACAACATAAAAGGAATTTTTGTTGAATATGTAGAGACACCCATATTAAGGATAAGGCATATTACAGTTTGATCAAATGATCATACCACTAATGAAAGTTAAATTAAAGAATCAAGAATCTTAAATTAAATTATAAAATAAATTGTAATAAACAAGTTAGTTTGCATTAAATAGTCATGCCTTGAGAAATTTTGAAATGCATCATCATCAGTTAAGTCTTCGGATACATATATATATATATATATATATATATCTCTATTATGCTATTATCTATTCTAGTACTAAATTGGGACGACAAACTAAAAATTCTGGGAATCTATTTGCCTATTCAAAAGAGCAAATTGATGGCAAGGCAATATGATTTTATATGAAGTCAAACAGTGTGTCAGGCACCCACTAATATTTTCCTAGTTGTACTCTTATTAACTCATAGGCATGTTAACGATTCGGCTCTAAGGAACTATTTTTTGGTGTTAGCATAAATATTTAAGCCATATAAATGTGTGCAAAGACTTATAGAGCTAATGTTTTTGACATTTAACCTGTTAAGTGACACCAAAGCATTGGTAATCCAAGGCTATACTATAGTTGCAATACAACTCCCACTCCCAAAATAAAATAATAATAATATAACTAGTGATGGTACCTGTTTAAGCTTAGGAATTCGTGATGGCCTTCCTTCACAGTTTGATAAGAAAAGTCCAAATATAAGCAAAAGGAAGCTGCAATAAACAAGATTTAAATTCACACCAAATTATATCGAAATTTAATTATTTCAATAGAAAAATGTTGAAGCAAAACAACAAATAATCAATGTCACTTACCTTGGAAAAAATGAATTTGAGATCGCTGAGTACGGTAGCAATAAAAAAATTTTGGGAGGAAAAAAATGACAAAATTATGAAAGAGTAGAAAGATGGAAAAAGATAAAGAGTAGACAATGTAAAGATAAAGATGGAAAGATGGTATCAATGTTGAAAGGTTGTTTTGTTTAATTAGATAAGGATTTTGAATAGAGAATATTAGGTTGTTTAATTAGATAAGGATTTTGAATGTAATTAACAAACAGGGATAGATTTGGTAGATAAGATAAAGTAGTTGAAGTAAATCTCTTGATTCTTATCAAATTAAGTATTCAGTTACTATTCTTGTGCTGAAAAAAATACATACAAATTTAGCACCACTTAATAGGTTCAGCAGGTGACTTTTTATTTATCAAACACCCAAAACCTCTGAATGTCTGAATGAATTCAGTTTCAGCACTTTTTTATGTTATCAAACAGGCACTAAGTGTGATTTCAAAAATTGGGAGGGGCTAATTGCAATTAGGGAAAATCTCAAGGGAGGTTTCTGAAATTTTTCTTTAAGAAAAATGTATATTCCTACATTATCTTGCCATTCACGAAAGAAGAAATAAATATAAAAAAAGTAGTAATTTCACAACCGTTTATTTTCGAGTCAACCATCAATTCATCACCGCATAAATGACGACGGTATTTCATCAAGGACTAGGAACCTTCTCGTAGAACCATAAGGCCTCCACCTCCACCTCCACCTCCACCTCCTCCTCCTCTGCTTGTTCTTCTTGGAATTTCTGCAGCTTCGCTAATTACTACAGTTGAACAAAGATGTGGCTATTCAAAAGAAAAGGGCCATCTGGGTTCTCATCCTCTTCCACTGCTGAGGAAGTCACGCAGGGGATTGATGGCTCTGGTCTCACCGCCATCGTCACAGGTCCTCTACTTGCTCTTATCTCTCCGTTCCTTCTCAATTCGACCTTTCTGTCCACATATGTTTTTTTAAAAAAAATTTTCAGCTCCCTAAATTTCTCTATTCTTTTTTCTTCTTCTCTTTTGTGTAGAAGTGAACGCTGCTTCAAAAATAATCTACTAGTTTTTTGCCCTTCAATTTGTTTATACTCGTCTAGCACATCAGTACTTTCGTTTTCGTTTTCTTGTTCATGACTGTGGGCCTTTATGATTGATTAAGAGGATCGGTTTGAACGCATGGAATGACGTAGTATAATAACAAACAAAATTGCAGGGGCTTCAAGTGGTATTGGTGCTGAAACAGCTCGTGTTCTTGCACTGCGTGGTGTCAGTGTTATAATGGGGGTCAGAAACATGGCTGCTGGCCAAGAGGTCAAAGATGCAATTGTTAAGGAAACCCCTGAAGCTAAAGTTGATGTCTTGGAGTTAGATCTCAGTTCACTTGCATCTGTGAGAAATTTTGCAAAGGAGTTTAATTCGTCTGGCCGTCCCTTGAATATCCTAATGTAAATAAATGCTACCTATACAGCAATCAGACTCTTCTAACTTTGTCTCCCCTCATCTTGTCTCTTTATTAAGTGCCTGGTATTTTTTGTGATTTTGTAAATTTTATTTGCTTATAATTTGCTTATTCGTTTATTCTTTTTTTTTTTGTTTTTTGACTCCTGGGATTGGTCTCTGTCTTCTCTATGTTAAGTAATAATGCTGGAGTCATGGGGACCACATTCGAGCTATCCAAGGACGACATTGAATTGCAGTTTGCCACAAATCACTTAGGTAGGTCCTATTCTTCAAATTCTTTAGCAGTAATTGGATTGGAACTCAGCATAGTTCTTGTTGACATCAACACTTTATCTTCATAACCATCTTTAGTTTTGTATCTGTTATGCAGGTCATTTTCTTTTGACTAACTTGTTGTTGGACACAATGAAGAAAACATGTCATCAAACTAAGAGAGAGGGAAGGATCGTGATTGTTGCATCAGAATTTCACCGCTATACCTATCGTGAAGGTGTGCGTTTTGATAAAATCAACGATCAAGAAGGGTAAGCTTGTGGTTGCCAGTGCTTAATTGTGTTAATCTTTCTATATGTTATTCTGTTCTAGACTCTCAAACCGTAGTTTATCATTGTTCTTTCCTTCTTTTTTTTTTTCTTCTTCTTCTTCTTAATGTCAAAGCTTCAAACTCATGTCTTAGCTTGAAGGTCCTACCATACTGAGAATCTGTTTCTTCTCTCGCCTTGTTTCATAAAATGCCGTGTGTTTTGTCATGTGGTGGTTGAGATTTAAATTTTTGGGTACTCCTGAGAGTCCAAGCAGCCACCTACCTGTGAAAAGTAAAACCTATTCATACCTATATCTCGAACTGCTCACCATGCCAACAAGTAGACTTAGGAAGTATAAAATTGCAGATACTTCTTAAGCAGTTATTGAGTACATCTCATAGTATACAAATATACTGATACACAAATAAATGGCATGCAATTTTCTCGTGTAAATGGGGATAAACATAAAGCAAACATGTCAAAGTATTAAGTTAGAACTGTTTTACAGGTAATATCGGAAAAAATCATAGCCATCATTTTCTAGAAGGTTTGCGAAGAAAGAGAGGCAGGATTAGGGGAGAATGAGAGGATAGCCCCCATGCCTTGCCTGTATCATGTAGAAACTGTAAGATTTTTAGAGAGTTCCCTCAATTAGAAAAAGAAAAAATTGTTAATGAAATTTGTGTTGAATTATTAAGGGATGGTGTGTAGGGAGGTAGTGCGGGGAGGTCTTTTGACCATCATTCTTGAAAAACCTCTCACATGTTCTCACACTTTTATGCTGCAGGTACAACAGATACCTTGCTTATGGTCAATCCAAGCTTTCTAATGTGCTGCATGCTAATGAGCTTGCCAGACGGTTAAAGGTTGTAGATTCTGACTTTGATTCCCTTGAAAGTTGAGACTTCTAGCATTTTTCTGAATTTAAACCCCTAGGATTTTTCTTCCCCCATTGGTTGCTGTAGATATTGTCTTTTATCCAGCTTATATAATAATATGCCAGCATTATCTTGAGGATGTTTACTCTAGTCTTTCTTAATTTAGACACCTCAAGATTTTGTGCACCCCTGCCAAATTTTGGTGTTTCTTTCCCTGGCAAATCAAGGACTGAACATGATAGGGCTTTCGAACTTTATAAGATGCATTTCTTACTCATAGCTCGTCTCCTTCTCATTGGTGGAAATGGTCAGCCTCTATAACATGATATGTCTCCTGTGCTAGATTTCTCTGTTCATTGTTATCTTAGTAGCATGAATAATACTTCTATCTAACAACCAGAAGTGGAGATGGATTCTAGGTCTCCAAAAGAAAGCATCTGTTAGTTTTCAATTCTATTGATTTTAGGTAGGTACTAATTCATGCCGTGTAATACTATAATTCAATGCCCAAGCTTGGATTCAATTGGTCATGAGCTTCCTGCCACCAACTACAAGATGAAGTATGTGGCAAGAGTAAACAAGAAAGGATCAGTATAAAAAAAGTCTTATATGGTCAAATATTTGACCACAGTGACATGATGTCTTAACTGCAGCCAATGTTTCTGCTCCTCCAATTTTGGAATCCATGGCTTGCTTCTTGTCCCATAATTATGGGCTCTTTATCAACCATGACAATCTCAATTGTAAAATTACACCCATTCAACTTTTCTACAGGCAGTACAAGTGCTTCAGAGAAAAGGGGTACTTTTCAAAAGCAATAGCAATTATGGTTAACTTAATTGAATGAACATTGTCATTTATGTGAGATGTTCTTCTGTAAATTGTCACAATAACTAAATCAATCAATCTCTTCCATAAAACAGTTTGATGATTTGTTTCTTAGCAGGAAGATGATGCAGACATAACTGCCAACTCACTTCATCCTGGTGGAATTACAACCAACCTTTACCGTCACAGTGGCATTTTTAGAGGTACTCCCAAACTTATTAACTGTATGTGTCTGCATTAGCCTTCTGAATGTGTTATTTTTTTTGTGCTTTGCTATTTGGTGGTTTTGTTTTATTGTATTATGCTTTGTTTATGCATGCTTTAAAAAGGCTCAATTAGCTTCAAATTTCTAGTGGCAAGCTATGAACCCTAGTATAAATGCTTCTTGCATTGCCAGTTGTCAGAAGGGCTAGGTGTTCTTTGAATTTCTGTTTGGTACACCAAGCCCTACTGGCCCTGCTATGATCAAACACATGGTGTTGATGACGACGTTAGGGGATGGTATTTTATGCCTTAAACCCCAAATCCTGGCTGGAGAATGTTCTTTTATGTCTTGAAATCATCAGTGGAGATCTTGTCTTGATGTAAACATCTAAAAAATGTGGGGTCTTTCTCATGTATCTGTTTTTTTTTTATCTGATGCAGGCCTTGGAAGTATTATTGGAAAATTTGTGTATAAAAACATTCCACAAGTAAGTTATGCCTCGTACTAAAATCATATTGGCTCACGTTTGTGTTAAATTTGTCAAGTCTGTCATGAAAAAGGTGTTAACTATTTGGTACTCCCTCCACTGACCTGATATCAGGGAGCATCGACAACATGCTATGTAGCATTGCATCCGCAAGTCAAAGGAATAAGGGGCGAATATTTTGACAACAGTAACATAGCTAAAGCAAGCTCAATGGCCATGGACGCGGATTTGGCAAGGAGACTCTGGGATTTTAGCGTCAGCTTAACCAAACCAAATGATTCCTGAGAAACCAAATCTTCCAGGAAAAATGGACCAAAAAAGAAAAAACCTATGTTTTCGTGCTATGACACAGTTTCTATTAGAGTGTGTATGTTCGTGGCTTTCCTACGTAACAGGCTTGCTCCTCCATTGAGTATGGCATCATGCTTGTCTTTTCATCCATCGTGGTGAAGCAAGTGATACTCTGTTCCTCTTGGTCTGTAATGCTGTTAAGAGTGGATGATATCTGGTTTATCCCTGATTATGCTTTAGTCCGTGCTCATTTTGGGTTCAGTCTTTCCCCGAACGAACGTTGCAATACTTTTCGCTATTACTTTAGTGGGATTACCTTATTTCATCAGTAACAACGTCATCGAAGAACAATATTTGATATATAAGGTTTTTTTTTTTTTTTTTTTTCATTCAAGGGGAGATTTCAACCTTTAGGTGGACGAGAAGGGCCAGGACTATAAAGTGCAGTCTTTCCCCGCAAAGCATGTCCGACTATATAGGTGGACGAGAAGGGCCAGGACGGAAGGTACCTTAGACTAGTAATCTCACTAAGTTATCATTAATGGAAGATTTTAAAGGAGTTAGAGGGAAAGCCATAAATATAAATCCACAAGTTTTTAGATCTGATTTGGAGAATAAAGAAGGCACTCGTAAGGAATGTAAGTGATTTCTTCCGTTTGGGAGTTTTAGCAATGAAGGAAATGAAGAGAGAGGAGGGGGGGGGGGAGCTATCATCCCCCCACGGTACAGAAATTCTTCCACCTTAGTAGTTTTAGCAGAAAGCGATGGAAATGCAAGGGACTTCAGAAATTTTTTCAATACACTAGCTTTTCCCTTAATATTTGTCATGTGAAATTATATTACTACTAATAAATAAGTTATAAACTAAATGGCTAAGGAGTTTTGGTCTAATGGTTAAAGTTGAAATTTCGAAGCGTAAAGATTTTGGATTCGAGTGCTCCTTTTCCTTCCCATTTCTTAAATCTTACCACCTCTGTTCTTTTTTCACTTTTTAAATCTCACTGTTTTCCTACTTTTTAGATTCTATCCCTTTGCACGCTCCCCATGCCCTTCCCTACCCCTGTCTGTCAAGGATATGATTCGAATTCTGAATCTAAGAGCAACAAAAAATTTTAAAATTCCTCCCCTAACTAGACAATTTTTGTGTATTTAACTTTCTAGGCGCTTTTATGAAACTGCTAATAGATACTAGGATAAATTAGGTGCCGTATTAACCGTCTGTAGACTTAATTCCAGCTTCTAAGATTACTGCTTGCTCCCCTTCCTGAGAACCCTGGACTTTATCCAGCTGAGAGATTCATAAACACTAGCGGGTATTGAAGAGTACGTAAATTTTTATTGAAGAAACACTTTTGTCATTAGTTTTCAAGTAAAATCAAATATGCTTTGGTTATATGTTCCTTAAACAGGATGATGGGGTAACTATGAACTCTGGTCGATGTTGGACCGATCTTTTTCCGTCATTACGGCAAGGTTGGAGGTCGCAATTAAACTGGTTTTCATTCGAATCAGAAGTGCGCAACCAACGAAGAACGTCTGTCTTTCCTATCAACAGAGACTGATGCCAGTTAAGCACGCAAGCAAGCAAGCAAGCGTTTTAATTCAACTTCAATCAAACTCCAGAATTTATTAGTAGCACAAGTTCAATTAGCTTACTCTGTTGACTTCAGACTGGACGATTGACATCTAACTACTGCTAATTATAGTCCATTTTTGGTTTGAGAAGCGGGATGTTGGTGCCCTGTGGTTCTCCCAATATCCACATGTTCTTATGCTTCAGCGAAGGCGACGTCGATCGTGGTGGAAGACTTTAACACCGCCATTTAATCTGCAATTTTAAGTTGTAACTAGAAGTGGCAAAATGGATATATGGTTGATAAATGGTTTTAGTTAAATGGATAGTGGATCAAATTGATCCAATCCAATTAAAACCATTTAATAAATGGATCTAAATGGATGTCATTTAAATGGATAGTGTAAACCATGATCCATCCATTTATCCATTTACTCTCCCAAATCCTAAATTTAAGATCCAAATGTTTTTTTTCCAAAAAATACAGATCCCCAAAGTTCTATTCTTAAATCACCTAAAATCTTTTGGTAATAACAAATGCTTGTACTACTACTCTATTTCAGTACTTCATAAAATTAGTTTAGTTCCAAGAAAATTTAACTGCTGTGGTCAATTTAATCTTTCGTCATTACTTTAAGTATCATTTTGTAAAGTAATGAACAATTAAGAACTTGGCTACATTTTTATAACTTTTGAATGAATTGAATACGGCTTTACAGTGAAAAGAAGTTTACGTTTCCAATTTTTTGCACTCCTGTTCAAGAGTGATGTCTTGAATAAAAGTGCAGTTCTAACAAGAAATCTTATGTTATTTGACAAGTAAAATATTTTCATCATATGTGCACGTAGTACTTAAAAATGTATGAAACTCCTTATTATACCATTGATACACAAGCTACCTTATATTACTTAATAAATTATGTGTCTTTTTTTTTTGGATAGTTGGGTTAGGTGATAAGGGGAGAGGGATTGCAAGTATGAGGATTTGGAAAAAAAAAAAAAAGTTGTCATTTACATATCTTAACCAATGTTGCGGGGACACTCGTTAGAAAAATTCTTTTTATAAATAAAAGAATTAAAAAAATAAAAATTATTTTGACATTACATGATGCATTCTCGCTTTTTCTTTACTTAAGAATATAAATGTTTGCAATCATTACTACATGAGAGTTTAATTAAAAAAAAACAAGAGTAGAGACTAAAATATAATTTTGAAAAGGATGGAAGAAGTCTAGGAACTAGAAGCAAATAAAATGCAATTAATGTTATTGGCAACTTGGCATGTGAGGAAGTTATGAAGGAAAGAATAGGTGGTCCCACAAAATTAATTTGACATATGAGGAAGTTATGAAGAAAAGAATAGATGGTCCCACAAGATTTTATCTCACATTTTTATAAATGTGTTTTCTATTTTTTAAGTTAAATGGATGTATATGGATAAGATGGATAATCCATTTAAATCCACCAACATAATTGGATTTAAATGGTTATCCATTTAGAACCATTGAATTTATATGGATCATCCAAATCCATTTAAGGTTGGTTTATATGGATGGATTGGTGGATATGAATCCATTTTGCCACTTCTAGTTGTAACCCCATCAGGATGGAATGGGCAGCCCGATTCCAGATTGCTGTCCATCCATCAATTGCCAAATCCAAAATGATACACGTATCCATTTGTATAATACAGAGCTGACAATGCGACTAAAACAACCACTATCTGTCAATCAACAATTTTTTTTTTTTTTTTTGAAGCTTATTAGACATGCATATGATTGTTCCGTCAAGTTCACCAGAAAAGAAAATTAGCCACAATCTCTTTAAATATTGAAGATTACAGGAGCGCACACATTTGCCATTTGGCCCATCGCCAAAGAACATCAAGTATTGATCATCCTGCAATGACTACTACGTACTGGGGTTAGTGCAATTCCCCCCTTGTTCTCCTTCCCCCTTGAACAAAGACAAAGTAAGTTAGAAAAAGAAAGCATCTTGAACTTGAAGGAAAAGATGTGCTTGTGCAACACAAAAGGGTCGTCTGGATTTTCATCCTCTTCCACCGCGGATGAAGTCACTGAGGGCATTGACGCCTCTGGTCTCACTGCCATTGTCACTGGTGATCTTCCCATCTTTTTGTCTTTTTTTCTTTCTTGAACTCAGTTCATTAATTCATATTGCACTTCGCAATGGTAACCTCATGCTCCAACATTTCTATTTAAAGCTCCGCGGGTTTCACGTAGTTCATGATCGGAGTTCTGGGTTACGTAGTCTGTGGGAAGTGGATGCCGATATCTTTTGCTAGCTAGAATGCCTAGCAACATTGCTCATGAAATGCATGAGCAAATAAATCCTGGACCTCTGCGTCCTTAAACTTCAGCTTGACCACTACGCCAAAGCCTGAGCACCAATAAAAATAACATGAATATCAAAACGTGGGATTAATTGGATGTAATGAAATTCTTCAAACAAGCAAATCATTTGATGATGGTGGCAATTGGCAAATTATTGCAGGTGCATCAAGTGGTATTGGTACTGAAACGGCCCGTGTTCTTGCACTGCGTGGAGTCCATGTCACAATTGCAGTCAGAAACATGGCTGCAGGCCAAAAGGTTAGAGAAGCCATTGTGAAGGAAATCCCTGAAGCCAAGATCGATGTCATGGAGTTGGATCTTAGTTCAATGGCATCTGTAAGAAGATTTGCAGCAGAGTTTAATTCGTTGGGTCATCCCTTGAATATCCTAATGTAAGCAGAGCAGCAGATTATTCAAAAATGTTTTGTATTATCAAGAATTTCTGATCTTTGAAGCATGTTCTTTATTCTCAAGTAATAATGCAGGAATCATGGGTACCCCTTTCAAGCTATCCCAGGACAACATAGAATTACAGTTTGCCACGAATCATTTAGGTAATTCCTTTTTCTCCATTGAATCTTTGGTTAAGACATTAACTGGTCTGGTCATTGTGAAATGCAGGTCATTTTCTTTTAACGAACCTGTTGCTGGACACCATGAAGAAAACGTATTACAAAAGTAAGAAAGAGGGGAGGATAGTAAACGTTTCATCAGATGCTCACCGCTACACATATCGTGAAGGTATTCGTTTCGATAGGATCAGTGATGAAAAAGGGTATGTTTTCAATTCCCATTAACGCCGAATTTTTTTTGAAGTTATTGATTATATGCGCCCGAGAACCTTGGATAATTTCAGCTTACATCACATTTAAAAGCAGTTGGAACTTTTTTCTTCTCCTCATTTACTGCCTTACTGCAGATACAGTAGCTTCTTTGCTTATTGTCAATCAAAGCTGGCTAATCTACTGCACTCCTATGAGCTAGCCAGACGCTTTAAGGTATTCAGTTCGGTGCATAAATCCATGTAGGATGTACACAGAACTTTGTATTGTTGGACACCTAGAAGAGATTTTATTCGACAAAGGTGCAATCAAAAAAATTTTTTTTTAAAAGAAGTATAGTAGTACCTAATTGTAGCAAGTGATCAGCCAATTGATGGGATACAGGTACCTTTGCTATGATGGCTTCCCTCAGAACCCAGCTCACTGTTACATTAATACGGCCACTTACACACTTCTGGCAAGCCACAAAACACATAGATCCTATACACCTAACAACAATTAAACGTACTGCCTTTGTTTAGATCCCTACATTCCTACTCCACCTTAACTAAATCAAAATAATGCCTTTTTCAAGTCCTCAAGGCACATCTTTCTTGGTGCATATAGCTCGATCGGCCCGCCTATCCTATGCTATGTTTCGTGCCCAACGTGAAACCAAGTCAATGTTTAACTGATAGAGCCAACAGCCTCTCACTGGAGTGGGAAGTTAAAGGTTCAATTCTTGTTTCCTATCTTGCCATTTAATTATAACTATCACTTAATTGTGACTTTCTCTGACGGGATTTTTCCGTTGGCTCCTCTTCTTCTTATATCAGGCTAGATTAGGTTATACAAATGTTATTATTGCGACAAAAAAAAGTTTAACTGGTAGAAGCTTTTAGCCCTGTAAAAAATGAAAAGGAGGCACCGGATGCATAGAAAAAAAATACAGAAATACTCCACCACAGCAAAATAATACACTACTCACACAATTAGGATCCGCGCAGAGTTGTTGCTATTCCGCTCACTTTTTCGTTACAAACTAAATTGCTTGTCTTTAATGTTGGCAACATGTCCCGTAGTTGGCAAACCGATTTCCGTCGTAAGAAACTCAAGTACTTTGTACATTTGTTTGTTGGACAGGAAGAAGGGGTGGAAATAACCGCCAACTCTGTTCATCCAGGAGTGATTATCAGCAATGTTTTCCATCGTCGAGGCTGCTGTATAGGTATCCGCAAACTACTACTTTCACTGAATGAATCCCTTTTAAAGTCGAACTTGAAAATGAAATGCGTACATCATATGGTGCCCATTTTGTGGATTCTGATAGCCACGGACAAGGCTGGCTAGAATTTCTCAGACGTGATTAATTTCAATAGCCTAACTATAAGAAACGGCTGATGATGTTGCAGACATCTACCCGCGGATCCATTCTTAATTCGTCAAAAATTTCCAAGAAATCTTGTGCTCCTATTTATTCGAATTTACGGGAATTGGCTACGTTACCCTCTCCAGACCCCCTGGGTCTATTCTCATGCATTATTATGCGTGATGCAGGTCTTGCCAATAAGCTCGACAAATTTGTGTTTAAGACTCTTCAACAAGTAAGTTTTGCATCCAATTTTCGCTCACAATTCATGTTTTGGTGCTGTAAAACTAGTAGTAAAATGTTGAAGTTTATCCGGGATAAGGGACAAATCGAAAAGGTTACTTGTATGATTCTTCTAGAGGATGTTAGTATGTTTTTAGTTGACTATACGAATGCTGCAGATGATAATGCCATTTCAGGGCAAGAGCCTTCCGACCAATTAATATTTCTTCGTTTTTTTTTCCCGGCACCCCTTTTAACTTGGACGTTCCAGGGAGCTTCGACAACCTGCTATGCAGCATTGCATCCGCAAGTCAAGGGAATTAGCGGAGCATATTTTCGGAACAACAACATAGCCAAAGCTAGCTCAAAGGCCATGGACGCAGATTTGGCTAGCAGACTCTGGGAGTTTAGCTTGAACCTGGTAAAGCAAAATGGAGATGATTCCTGAAAAACCAGTTCTACAACAATGGACGTATATATTGCTGATAAATTCGACCATGGTATAATAATAAAGTGGGAAGAAAATAAGTTCTGTTTAATAATTGTTTGCGTAGAAAAGTCTACTTTCTTTTTTAAAAAGATGTTTAGAAAAATTATGAGGACACTGCGAGTTGTGCACATATTAGTACAAGGTTGATGCCCAAGATTTGACAAAAAAAATATATAAGATTTAGATTGTATCTTGTATATCGTTTGTCACACTATATGTGAAAATCGCAAAATTTTATTTTATAATTACACGTTATTGAAAGTGAATTACACCGTGTGCATACAAAGTTACATCTTGTGCATGCAAACCATTTTTTTTTTTCAATGATTTCGTACACGCCAAAGTAGTTTTCTTTTCTCAACATCTTTATTATCAGATTCAATCGAAACTATCCCTACCAACTACAAACAAATGTAAAAGCATTTTCTTCATTACAGTATCACAATTTTCTAGTGTATTGACATGTGACACTTTTCCATCACAGCTACAACCTGCGCTGCCTAATCTCCAGCATCCAAATTTTGTTACACTTACACGTATTCAATTTGCCTGTGTCACTCGAGGACTTGTGAAAATTACACACCAATTTTACACCTATGTCCTTAATAACAAGATCAATAAACAAGTAACATACTTTACAAATCGCGTTCAGCCCCATTCATTAATTTTTAGCGAAATGCTATTCTTTTTTTTTCTCCGGAGACAACAACTGTTGTATAACCTAATCTATTCTACACTAAGGGGGAGGGGGTGGACCTAAGGAAGTCCAGGAATAATCTGGAGGGAACTGAACTACCGGACCGAACGGGTGCACAACACACCTGCCTGGATTTTTTGAAGCAAGCCACTTAAATGTGACATTTTGGTCTTGACTCCCACCCTACCAAGCTAGGTGGTGGCCACCAAAGGCTGGTGGTTGTGAAATGCTATTCACCCCATTCATATTTAGCGGTAGCATTGGCCCTTGTCTTTACAATTACATGCAATTAGTGATTATTTTTTGTCTGTTGAATTTTTAAGCAATTTTTATTTGATTGTTTTGTAGAACTCTCTATAATTTGTAAAGATAAGGACTTGTAGTGTGGTTCGCATAAGATGTTAAAAAGAAATTGATGGACTTTTATTTGTTTTTTGAACTTGAAAATCGTAATAAATGTGTTAGAACCTTTTGACAATTAAAACTATTGTGGATTTTTGTACAAGTCTTTATAATTTGGAAAGACAACTTCTATGGTCTATACTAAATTTTAAAAGGATTAAAAATAATTGTCAACTGTATAATATTATTTAGGAAAGCTTCAAGAAGTGTTGAACTAGTGAATGGTATGTAGTATAGTTATGTAAATATTAATGCTTAAAATGTGTAAGTATTATTTGCACTAATTGCTTTCGCAGAGTTGGAAGTAATTAATTTGAAAAGATAGTAATTTTGCATGAAAAGATAAGATATACACAATATATTTGCAAATGAAAGTCATTATTGTTTTTGTATAATTTAAAAGTATTGTATCCTTGCTCAAACCCTTTGTAACAAGAAAATAAGTAAAACTTTTTATTTGTATGACAAGATTGAGGGAAAAAATTTATCATTTTTACATTTTTAAGGTAGTCATACATTGATGTTTATTGGTTTGTCAAACCATTTATTTAATTTATAACATCCTATATACAAAAAAAAAATTTACAGATGACAATACATGCTATTTGTCATTTGAAGCTAAGGAAAATGTTAAAGTAAAAAATTTTACTTAGAGTAAAAAATGCTATTGATTTTTATTTTTATTATTATTATTTTCTTCGGTCCGTTTATTCATACTCGTCGGAACTATTCTACGTAGGTGGCCATAATTCCTTAATGTAATTAATGTCCTAACGCGTGTCTCGCCCACGTTGGGCATCCTACGGTAGCATGGACAGAGCCACAGAGGCGTCCATCATCAATTCATCACGGTATGTGATTAAAGATTAGGAACCTTTTCATGGGTACATAAGGCCTGCAACTCCCCCTCGTCTTCTTGTTCTTCTTGGAATTTCTGCAGCTTCGCTAATTACTACGATTGAACAAAGATGTGGCTTTTCAAAAGAAAAGGGCCATCTGGGTTCTCATCCTCTTCCACTGCTGAGGAAGTCACGCAGGGGATTGATGGCTCTGGTCTCACTGCCATTGTCACAGGTCCTCCACTTGCTCTTATCTCTCCGTTCCTTCTCAATTGAACCTTTCTGTCCACATTTTTTTTTATTAAATTTTTCGGGTCCTTAGATTTCTTTATTCGTTTATTCTTCTTCTCTTTTGTGGAGAAGTGAATACTGCTCCGAAAATAGTCTACTAGTTTTGTTGCCCTTCAATTTGTTTATACTCGTCTAGTACATCAGTACTTTCGTTTTCGTTTTCTTGTTCATGGCTGTGGGCCTTTATGATTGATTAAGAGTATCAGTTTGAACTTTGAACGCATGGAATGACGTAGTGTAATAACAAACAAAATTGCAGGGGCTTCAAGTGGTATTGGTGCTGAAACAGCTCGTGTTCTTGCACTGCGTGGTGTCAGTGTTATAATGGGGGTCAGAAACATGGCTGCTGGCCAAGAGGTTAAAGATGCAATTGTTAAGGAAACCCCAGAAGCTAAAGTTGATGTCTCGGAGTTAGACCTCAGTTCACTTGCATCTGTGAGAAATTTTGCAAAGGAGTTTAAGTCGTCTGGCCGTCCCTTGAATATCCTAATGTAAATAAACACTACCTATACAGCAATCAGACTTCTAACTTTGTCTCCTCTCATCTTGTCTCTTTATTAAGTGCCTGGTATTTTTTTGCGATTTTGTAAATTTTATTTTCTTATAGTTTGCTTATTTGTTTATTCTTTTTTTGTTTTTGACTCCTGGGATTGGTCTTTGTCTTCTCTATGTCAAGTAATAATGCTGGAGTCATGGCGACCCCATTCAAGCTATCCAAGGACAACATTGAATTGCAGTTTGCCACAAATCAGTTAGGTAGGTCCTATTCTTTATGGGACAAACCGTTAACTGCAGCTAGTTGAATTGCATTCACAAATTTTGTATGTTCAAATTCTTTAGCAGTAATTGGATTGGAACTCAGCATAGTTCTTGTTGACATCAACACTTTGTCTTCATAACCATCTTTAGTTTTGTATCTGTTATACAGGTCATTTTCTTTTGACTAACTTGTTGTTGGACAAAATGAAGAAAACATGTCATCAAACTAAGAGAGAGGGAAGGATCGTGATTGTTGCATCAGAAGCTCACCGCTATCCCTATCGTGAAGGTGTGCGTTTTGATAAAATCAACGACCAAGAAGGGTAAGCTTGTGGTTGCCAGTGCTTAATTGTGTTAACATTTCTATATGTTATTCTGTTCTAGACTCTCAAACCATAGTTTATCATTGTTTTTTTTTTTTTTTTTTTTTTAATGCCAAAGCTTCAAACTCATGTCTGTAGCTTGAAGGTACTACCATACTGAGAATCTGTTTCTTCTATCTCCTTATTTTATAAAATGGTGCGTGTGTTTTGTCATGTGGTGGTTGAGACTTGGATTTTTGGGTACTCTTGAGAGTCCAAACAGCCGCCTACCTGTCAAAAGTAAAAACCATTCATGCCCATGTCTCGAACTGCTCATCATGCCAACAAGTAGACTTAGGAAGTACAAAATTGGAGATTCTTCTTAGGGAGTTACTGAGTACATCTCATGCACTACAAAATAGTAATACACAAATAAATGGCATGCAATTTTCTCGTGTAAATGGGGATAAACATAAAGCAAACCTGTCAAAGTATTAAGTTAGAACTATTTTACAGGTAGTGTAGGAAAAAATCATAACTGTCATTTTCTAGAAGGTAATTGTGAAGAAGGAGAGGCAGGATTATGGGAAAGTGAGGGGATAGCCCTCCACGCCTTGCCTGTGACATTATCATGTAGAAACGGTAAGATTTTTAGAGAGCTCCCTCAATTAGAAAAAGAAAAAATTGTTTATGAAATTTGTGTAGAATTAATAAGGGATAGTGTGTAGGGAGGTAGTGCGGGGAGGTTTTTTGACCATCATTCTTGAAAAACCCCTCACATGTTCTCACACTTTTATGCTGCAGGTACAGCAGCTTCTTTGCTTATGGTCAATCAAAGCTTTCTAATGTGCTGCATGCTAATGAGCTTGCCAGACGGTTAAAGGTTGTAGATTCTGACTTTGATTCCCTTGAAAGTTGAAACTTCTAGCATTTTTCTGAATTTAAGCCCCTAGGAATTTTCTTCGCCCATTGGTTGCTGTAGATATCGTCTTTTATCCAGTTCATATCTTGAGGATGTTTACACTCGCCTTACTTAATTTAGGCACTTCAAAATTTTGTGCATCCCTGGCAAATTTTAGTGTTTCTTTCCCTGGCAAATCAAGGACTGAACATGATAGGGCTTTAGAACCTTATAAGATGCATTTCTTACTCATAGCTCGTCTCCTTCTCATTGGCAGAAATGGTTGGCCACTATAACATGATATGTCTCCTGTGCGAGATTTCTCTGTTCATTGTTATCTTAGTAGCACGAATAATACTTCTATCTAACAACCAGAAGTGGAGATGGATTCTAGGTCTCCAAAAGAAGGCATCTGTTAGTTTTCAATTCTATTGATTTTAGGTAGGTACTAATTCATGCCGTGTAATACTATAATTCAACGCCCAAGCTTGGATTCATTTGGTCATGAGCTTCTTGCCACCAACTACAAGATGAAGTATGTGGGAAGACTAAACAAGAAAGGATCAGCGACATGGTGTCTTAACTGCAGCCGATGTTTCTATTCCTTCAATCTTGGAATCCATTGCTTGCTTCTTGTCGCATAATTTGGGCCCTTTAAGAACCATGACAATCTCAATTGTACAATTACACCCATTCAACTTTGCTACAGGCAGTACAAGTGCTTCAGAGAAAAGGGGGACTTTTCAAAAGCAATAGCAATTATGGTTAACTTAATTGAATGAACATTGTCATTTATGTGAGATGTTCTTCTGTAAATTGTCACAATAACTAAATCAATCAATCTCTTCCATAAAACAGTTTGATGATTTGTTTCTTAGCAGGAAGATGATGCAGACATAACTGCCAACTCGCTTCATCCTGGAGCAATTACAACCAACCTTTTCCGTCATGT